GGCTAATTAAGAGGGAACATTTTCTGCTTGTCAACCAAAATGGTAAGCTTCGTCATGTACGTCATTATGTGTCCGTAATACGTGTTTATATTTTTTTGCATATTTGTCTAACCTTCCTACTTGTCAGTATAAACGTGGAGGTCACATGCATAGAAGACTAGCCTCTTCAACGGGGTCGTCCCCGGCCCTTTCCTCGTTTCCTGTCGGTTCATCTAACCCGCAACCACAATATGCTGATGGACAATATGGACACGTTGGTCCTTCCTCCAATGCTCAAGAATATGTTATGGGACTTGGCCACATGCCAACTCAATCTCCTCCAGTTCCATCTCCTTTGGCTCCCTCTCCTTCCGTTCCACCTTATTATTCAACGCAACATTTGCATAATGACGGAAACGAAGGTGAAGAAGATAACCGATTCCTGATATGCCCATTTGGAGATTCGTAAGTACTTCAATTTTTTTTTAGTATATGTAATATTTATGGCTTTCGATATGGATGTCAACTGAATTGTCGATGTTGCACAATATCCGTTTGTTTGCAGATTCACGGATGCTACGTTTGTTGTGAGGGAGCTGAATAAAATAGTCAAAAACTATTGGATGGGGGAGTATGTTAATTACAGAAGTGTTCCACAAGAGGTGAAAGATTTGTGGTGGAATGAGTTCAAGGTAAGTTTTAGATATTCTATTTTCTTACTAACTAAGTTCGGTGTAGTATATTGATGGTCAAGAATGATGTAAAGGGATCAGAACAGCTCTTTACTTTTCGGTACTAAAGGGACCAGATATTTTTCCCGATATGAACTTAACAAAGTCTATCGCCGAATTGTCTGGTGCATGGTAATGGATATGTGACCATCATAATAACTTTCAGTTTTGCTTGTAATGATTGCAGCGGAAGTTCAGGTGGGATGACCAGCAAGAGAATGAAGTTAGAAGAATTTTTCAGAAGAAAGTCAGTGATCACATACGAAATATGATGAATAGAGCGAAGAGCAGGAAAGTGAAGCCGACTTTCATTACAGCTGACAATTGGGCGGAAATTAACAGAATTTGGGAAACTGAGAAGAGTCAGCAAATCAATCAGTAGAATAAAAAGAATCGATCTTCCAGTTCTAGTGAAGGGTCTGCCACATATGCTGGGGGCTGTATCAACATTGGGGAGCATCGCAAACGACTGGTAAGTCTGTTAAATAAATTATAAGTTAATTTAATTCAATTACTCATGTTTACATTTTGTAGGCACAAGAATTGGGGACGGAACGGACATTTGTAGCTACATTTGAACGCACATTTCAAAAGAAAGATAAGACGTGGATTGGCGATCGAGCAAAAGCTATTAAGGTACGTAAGGTTATACTTTGGGCTTTATGGAAACTAGAATGAAAACCGTCAATGCTTTTAATATTTATGGTAGATATATATATATATATATATATATATATATATATGAAGTTATTTTATTTTCATCTATATTGTTAATGTAGGAAAAATATGATGAACTTTTAGTGGCCAATGCTAGTGGTAGTGATGGTTCTGCAAGTGCGTCTGAGCCAGCAGTTGACAGTGTGCCATTATGGGTGGAGGCAACGAGTGGGGTGAAAAAAGAAAAAATATTTGAGATGGGATCCTTGTCAAGGATGTTCATGCCGAATCAAGCTGGAACTTCATCATCCAATGCGACTGGTCGAAGGAGGACACGACATGACGAGCAATTGACCCAAGAAGTGAACCAACTGAAAAATATAATTGTAGAGAGGGACGAAGAAATAAATGACTTGAAATAGCAAATGCAAATCGTTATGCGACACCTCAACATCAATCGCGGTGAGGTTCCTCCTGTACCCCCTGCCAATCCAATAGGTGATGAGCACAATGATGCCGACATTGATGATGATGCTGATGATTTTCTCGGTCATTTCTAGTTAAAATTGCCAAAATCGGGGGTAAACTTGCTTCACAATCTTATATGACATAAGTGCAGTTTCACACAATTTGTTCTTGCCCTACAATTACTTTTTGTGCACAACTTTCTTACTGACAGGTTGAACGATCTAATTTTTCCTATGTGACAGAAATACGGTTTACAAGGGTGAAAAAACTACAATGGATGTCAAAGTTGACTCATACTCATATGTAAGAACATTGATGTTCGTTCTGAAACGTTTTTTTGTTAACCCTCTTACTTGTTTTTTTATACCTAGCTCCACATCCATGCATAAGCACTTCTTTTATATTCTTGACTGATTGAATATCTTTATTTATGTATCTACATTTCATCAGGTGTCGACAAAAGTGACTGCTTTTGGTGTCCTGCTGAGTACCACAGCTGCCCAATCTTGTGTCTGGTTTGTCGATTTTTCGTTTTCTAAGCAGAATCTATGGTTATCCCGCCTCCTATGAATGTTTTGAATGTATTAAAAGATTTGATATCAAATATCATCGTGTCAGGCTTTGCAATTATATCATTATTTTTTGCGGACTAGCATCTTTCCTTCAGTTACATTTTTCAATTATATGGCATTGTGTCTGGTTTGTTCGTTTTACATTTTCGGCGGAATCTATGGTTTTCTCGTGTCCTTTGATTGTTTTCAATGTATTACATGATGTTCATTAATGCGTAGCAATTGATATGGACAAGATTTGATGGCTGAAATGCTGTAAAATTTGCGATGAATATTTATATACGAATTTTGCGACCATTACAGTTCGTGGCTAATTTGCGATGAATAAGTAGCGACGAATCAAGTTCGTGCCTAATTTCCGTCCAATACATTTTGCGGCGAATTTTGCGACTGATTTTGCGACGGATTTCGCGACGAATTTCGCGACGAATAAAGTTCGTGGCTAATTTGCGACGAATTTTGCGACGGATTTTGCGACGAATTTTGCTACGAAATTTGCGACGAATTTTACCACGAATTTTGCGACGAAATTTGCGACGAAATTTGCGACGAAATTTGCCACGAATTTTGCGACGAATTTTGCCATGAATTTTGCGACGAAATTTGCGACGAAATATTTGCGACGAACTTTACGACGGATAGTGTTCGTGGCTAGTTTACGACGAATTTTGCCACGAATTTTTTGCCACGAATTTTTTTTCCGTCGCAAATTTGCGACGAAAATTGAAATTTTCCGTCCCAAAAATTTGCAACGACCTAGTAGCGACGGAAAAAATTCCGTCGCTAAATTCGTCGCAAAAACGATTTGGGACGGATTTTTGCGATTTTTTCGTCGCAAAATCCGTCGCAAAAAACATGTTTTTTGTAGTGTCGGAAGCAGGAGGTCTCAGGTAATCCGATTCTCGTCTTAGTACACAGTGCGAACATGGTCATTCGGAATTTTGCTTTGCAAGTTTCTAAGGGCTCGAATGATAACCATTCTATTTCAGAATTCAATTTTTCGTCAGAAATAGATTTTTCTATTTCTATTTCATGGATGAGTTTATGAGCCAAAATACACATTTGATAACGACACAAAATTTCTGTTTATGAAATAGAAATTCGTTTGATAACGGCACAAAATTTCTCTCTCCCGAGCGATCGGCGAGCGGGCGGTGGCAGACGACGGAGGATGGCGGCCGGTGGGAGGCGGACGGGGGTGGGTGGCAGGAGGCGGCAGGTGGCAGTAGACAGCGGAGGACCATGGCAAGAGGCGGCCAGCGTCGGGTGGCGGCAGACGGTTGAGGACGGCGGCTGGCATTAGGTTGTGGCTGATATCAGAGGACAGCGGTTGACGGCGGGAGGCGACTGGCATCGGGCGGCGGCAGAGGACGGCAAGAGGTTGCCAACGGGTGGCAGTGGATGGCGGCGACCAATGGTGGGAGGCAGCCAGCGTCAAGCGGCAGCGGAGGATGGCAAATGGCGACCGACGGTGGCAAGTGGCGAAGGACGGTGACGAACCAAGTTGGTGGGCAGCGACGGGAGGCGATGGCGGGCGTCGAATGGGCGGCTGGCTAGTAGCGAGGGCGAGCGATGAGTAGAAATTTTATTTCTCATTTCAGTTCTAGATTTAGAAAAGTAAAAATTTTTACTTTTGATTTCTATTCCAAAGCTATTTTTGGAGTAGAATTTTGTTTCATAAATAGAAAAATGAAATTGCGTTACCAAACGGATTTCTGTTCCAAACCTGTTTCCGGAAATAGAAAAATAGAAAAACAGAGAAACATAATGATTATCATGCGCGCTCCAAGAGTCTCTTACTATTGTTCGTCGGTGACTAGTGGGGTACCAGAAGTTCACTGCCTCGGATGGACTTGCGGTCGTACGAAAAGAGAGAAAATGGCGTTGTATCTTGGTTGTAGGGGAGCCAACAGGTTTACTCAAAGATAGATAAACCGCCCATCTTCAAGAAAAAAGGCGAAGTAGGTGCACCAAGTGCTTGAAGTACTAAAGAACTTGCTTATTTCAAGGCCCTTAAAAGTACTTATTACTTATGATATGAACAGTTTCAACTAAGATGAATGAACTCGCGGAATTCAATATGAAATCCCCTTTTCATTGAGTGATTACCATAAGATACTTTCTAACTAATCGTGAAACTATAATTGTCCCAATCTGTGACGAAATGTTTGTTCGAATAGTAATCACTTTTCACTTCAAACAACTCTGTTATCGCCGCTCCATTATGACATCGGTAACAGTAGAATTGGAATTTTCTTAGGTTCGAACAATCCTGTTATCGCCGCTTCGTTATGGTATCAGTAAGAAGTAGAGTCGGGATTATCTTAGATACCTAAGATCGAGGGAAGATTGCGGAATTTGAGATTAAATCGTGCGTCACTGGACTAGCCACGTCCACGGTGACTCACTCTTCTCCTTAAAGAAAAAGTCAAAGCCCGAAACGCCCCATCTTCCAGATAGATTCGTGGAGCAACAGCAGCTCAACCACGTAGATTTTGCTGAAGTCACTCCCCCTCGTGCATGGATGCCACGTGTCCTCCCATCCCGGAGAACGCAGCTGAGGATCTTACAAAGTGATGAAAGCTGTTTAGGTTGAGTGTAAACAGATGAAACTCAACATGAAATCACATAGTACTTTGTGATAGTGTTGCAGCAAGATCTCTTATTTTCTTTCATATTGCTCAAAGATCGAAGGCTGAGAGCAACCAGCAATGAACTTGGCCTCACCCCGACCTTTCTGGTGACTCTCGCTCTCTCTCGCTCCTTCCTTCTTCTTGGCCTCTTCTCTCTCGACCCTGCAAACAGAAAGCCGGGAAAAAGATCGACAACCATGTCACTGCTCAAGCCCAACCAGCCTCCATCTCGCACCATCGCCATCATCGCGCTGGCGCTCACATTCACCCTCTGCTCGTCGTCGCCGGCAATCCTCCGAGTCACGGAGCACAACCCTCTCCTCACCGCCGAGCGCAGGTTCCAAATCTTCATGCGCAAGTACGACAGGAGCTACTCCACCCGGGAGGAGTACTCGCGCCGCCTTGGGATCTTCGCGGCCAACCTGGCACGGGCCGCGGAGCACCAGGCCCTCGACCCGACCGCCGTCCACGGCGTCACCCCCTTCTCCGACCTCTCCCCTGAGGAGTTCGAGAGCCTCTACACCGGCGTCAGGGGTGGCGGAGGCGGCCTGGGCTCCTCGAACGGCGTGGCCCCGCCGGCAGAGGAGGAGGAGGTGAATGGGTTGCCGGAGAGCTTCGACTGGCGAGAGATGGGAGCTGTCACTGAGGTCAAGACGCAAGTGAGTGTGTTTCCTTTTGGGATATATACACTTGTTATATATCCCCTCATTTATAATTGATTAACAGACTGAGTTGGAGAAAGCTTTGCTAAAGTAGATTTTAAAAAGTGGTGATTAGGTCTTCTATGTAGTAGTAAGATAGAAAATAATTGTCAAATGTTGCCCTTTAATTCGGTTGTCTATGAAGACGCTGGCCCATCAGAGTGTGGGATTAAAAGGCAATTTCAGATTCATGGTCTTGTAGATACAGAACTTGATTGGTATTGTAGTCAATTGATTCTGCTGCAATCTTTTGCAAGAATATGTCAAATCTATTAAATTTCATGTACATCTTTCCGTTTCAATCATCCTGAGTTATATGGAGTTGAACCATTCTTTTTAGTCCCACCACCTATATTATATACAGATCGTATGATTATGGTGACTTTGTTCAGGCTGACCATTTATATGGTGTGATCTTGGAGCAAAAACTTATTTGATAGATGAAAATTTGTAAGCAATAGTTGCTGTGGTGTAGTGGTTATCACGTTAGTCTTACACACTAAAGGTCCCCAGTTCGATCCTGGGCAGCAACATCAATTTGCACAAATTTCTCTCGCCATGTCTTTTTGGTGTTCACTCTTTCCATGTTTTTTGTCCATTTTATGTTGCGTAATGATCATAAACATATGTAATGTGGTAATTGCAGGGCTTGTGTGGTTCATGCTGGGCCTTCAGCACTACAGGAGCTGTTGAAGGAGCCAACTTCATCGCCACTGGGAAGCTTCTCAATCTTAGCGAGCAGCAGCTTGTCGACTGTGATAGCACGGTTAGCTCCTGACTCCAATTAACACAGCCAAATGATGTTAAAGAGAAATTCCGTTAAATCAATCGATTGGTGTTGCTAATTGTACTCGGAATTATTGCTGAAATCCTTACTTCGACTCGTATTTTTGTTGGGATTTTTTTTTCGAAGTGCGATTTGTCAGAGAAGACAGCATGCGACAGCGGCTGCCATGGAGGCCTTATGACGAATGCGTACAGGTACTTGATTGAGGCGGGCGGGTTGGAAGAGGAGAGCTCGTATTCTTACACTGGGAAACGCGGGGAGTGCAAGTTCAAATCGGATCAGATAGCCGTCCGGGTGGTGAATTTTACCACCATCCCTGTCGACGAGGACCAGATAGCAGCACATTTGGTCAAACACGGTCCCCTTGCAGGTTTGGAATTCTGATTTAAGAATCCGTCCATCCTCCTTTTCCTTCCTTTATTCATTATTCATTCACGTTTGCGCTCAAAACATCTGGTCCTGTCTGGTGAAAGATGCAAGGCCTTACGATCTCATAGCTTAATCAAAGGCAAACATCGCACATGGGCCATGCTGTTTGGTGGTATTGGTAGGTTTTTCCATGACTAACAAGGTTCATGTTGATCACAATATGATTAAAATTTCTGGGAAGGTCTTCAAATTTCCTAGGATAATCTTTCTGGTATGGGCTAGGAATTGGCTATATGCTATGTTTGTTTTGAATTATTTCAATTGTTAACTTAACGAAAAACTCAGCTAGGCTTCTGACTTGTTGAATATGCTCTTAAGACGATTATGTGAAAAGCCCGCTACTAATCCGCCTAGTGCCTTATCGAACCGGCATATAAACAGCTTCACTGATGAGCTCTTGGTTTCCGATCGCAGTGGGGCTAAACGCGGTCTTCATGCAAACTTACATCGGGGGAGTCTCGTGCCCGATCATTTGCGGCAAGAGATGGGTCAATCACGGGGTGCTCCTCGTCGGCTACGGAGCGAATGGGTTCTCCATCATCAGGCTCGGCAACAGGCCGTATTGGATCATAAAAAACTCGTGGGGGAATCGCTGGGGAGAGCACGGTTACTACCGGCTCTGCCGTGGGCACGGCATGTGTGGAATGAACACCATGGTTTCGGCTGTTGTTGTAATATGTGCCTCTTCTTTTGACCAGGTCAAAAGACTTAGGCTGAAGGAGAAAAACAAAAAAAAAAAGAAAAGAAAAGAAAAGTCAAAAAGTGAAGATAAAAGGAAGAAGCAGCGGCTGGTCGGGAAAACAGAAGAGAAAAACAGAGGAGAAGAAAAGGAAAAAGGAGAGGAGAAAGGGAAGAAGAGAAAGGGAGGGTTTGTGCGCGCGGTCTCGCCGAGCCGTTCCGACTAAGTAACGCAACGACTAGTAAGTACTCGCAACCCTCGTTAGTCCTATCGGAATAATTTTTCGATTAGGGCTCGGAAATAAGAGTTATGTGGATTTGAGCTGCGTAGTCCAATTTTTGGGTTGTCAAGTCTTAAATATCCATGAAAATGAAAGATTATGGTGTTGTGGGGCTGTGCGTTTTGACGGATATCGATTCGGAGTTACGGTTTGTCCGGAATCAAATTTTGAAGTTGAGAGCATAATCTGAAATTTCGTGAACAGTACTTTCCAGGGCTTTGATTGTTGTTTTTGGGCTGTTGTTTGGGTTGGCTATGTTGGGACATCCATAGTATGCTGGATGGGTTTCGTTTTGACTATAAGAGTGCGCAAAACGGAGTCCGGTGGAGGAAGTTATGGCGCGTGGAAATTTGGCGCGCGAGTTGTTCGTTGTGGTTGGCATTAGATTTTTTCCATTGAGCAAGCCGTCGTAGGCTCGTGGGTGTCGGATTATTGGCTAGTTAGCCTTAGCTTATTCGAGTCGCGCGTTAGGGGTAAGTATTACTCGGTTTTGATTCGTTTTTCCGTATGTTTGATAGGATTTTGGAACCGTCGGCTCAAGTATCACATATGGGTTAGTTGTGGATTACCAGGTGAGGGACATTATATCTTCTATGAATTTACAAATTCATATTTTGATAATGAGATATAATTTTTAATACAAGGAGCATGTTTTCTGCATAAATTGGATCGATCATTTACTACCTTTTGTCGATTGTGAAATGAGTTGAAAAGTCTCGATGACGTTATTGAAATGAAGCTTTTGTGAATGCTTATATTAAAGGTTTTGTGAAGAGGATTAGCCAGGGCTATTCTTGTTGTGAAATGTTTTGTGAAATGGATTTATTGGTGTTGATTATGGATTTCTAGATTGAGTTATAAGTTGCTCTGCTCGTATTACTATGTTGAGAACCCGTTGAGGGGAGTATGCATACTTTGTCGGGATATCCTTGGGCCGAACCGCCGGCTTATAATAGGTGGTAGACCTTGCCAAGAGGATTAAACTTGGTCGCCTTTGTCACGGCGTTAAACTTGACCATAGTTTGATTACGAGCATGAGATTGGTTGATGGATTGACCATCAACGTGTTATGTGATGAGACTAGTCAATGGATAGACCATTGATGATTGGCTATTGTTGTTAAGTGAGTTTTTATTGAGAAATCGATACGAATGACTTTTATTGAAAAGTTATTATACCTTCGAGATATTTTTGGTTATATTGTACATTGAGTTTGAGTTATGAGCTGTGATATTTTTATGCTATTGCACAAGAATTGTTCGACCCACTTAGAAGAAATATGTTACTCATCGAGCAGTAGCTACTCACCCTTATCTTACATACCTTTCGGTTCTTCCGCTGGCCGCAAGTAGGGCGTGAGCGGGCGTTAGTCGGAGGATTTCTTTTTGATTGTGGGATTTTGGGTACGTTGTACATATTGACGTTGAGCTATTGGAATAGTTTTTTGTTGGATTTGTATATATCCTTTTGATGGTTTTAGAAAGCTCTGATGTTTTCGAGTCTTGTTTAAGTTTAGGCTGCGTCCTTTGGGTGAAAGGACGGCCGTGTTACGATCCCGTTTTGGTTGTATTCGGGGTGTGACAGTTGTGACTCAAGCATCGGGCTGAGCTTTTATCTATCTCTCTTTTTACACTTCTCAAGTATCTCCTTTGTTGTATAATCGTATAGATTACGGGTTGGTGACGATGGTGATGAGCGGTATCCCTAACAATATGGAAGTTTCGCAGGTCATGTAACGTGAGAAGGGGAAAGCAAAGCTCGGGTGTTTTCTAATAATTTTACATTAATTGACGGCACGCTGTTCTTCTTATCTTCATAAGGATAACGGATCTAGCTCTGATATCACTTATCCAGAAGACCACTTTCCTATGGGCAACGAAACACTAATTCCCATAAATGACATTTACTTAAATTAACCAGAAGTAACATTTTTTTTTATCACCTACATATTGCAGCGTGATTATGAAATACGTATCGTACTTGGTGCGAGGAATTTACCTAGTCATGTTAACATGTACCGAAACATCTACCACTCGGTTATTTACTTTAGAGCATTGATTAGAAATGAGAAATTAGAACCAACTTAGGAATTTTAAACAAGTTTCGATCGAAAGAAATCAAAACGAGATTATCCGCATTATTGGGTCCCTAGTCCCATCCCGATTCGGAAAACCACGAACCTCCAACTACATAGCTTTTGGACCGACGGCTTTGCTGTTGCTGGCATGATCCCTAGTCTCATCCCGATTCAGCGACAAGAACTCTCTTTCAGAGAGTAGTGGGTTGGTGGCTTTATATAACCGTTGGTCAGCTACAATAACTCTCTCCTGTTGCATTACAGACGTACCGACTAGTGGGATGAGATTTTAAGATGGGTCACTAATTGCATGATAAATGAAAGGATTCTTTTGTTTCTCGTTTGGAAAAATGATGCAAACCGTCTTTGAACTTTGACCCAACGTGCGATATGATCCATGAACTTTTAATTCGTTCAATGTAATCTGTGAACTTTTACTCAATGTGCAATGTGGTCCCTAAACTTTTAATTTGTCCACAAACTTTTGGTATATGTTTAATTAGAAAAATTACCAAAATAGTCCTAAACCTATTGTAATTGTGCCAATTCAGTCATAAATATTTTTTTTGTACCAATTTAGTCATAAATCTTTTGTATTTGTGCCAATTCAGTTCATTCGGCCAATTTTGGCCAGCCGGTGCTGACATGGACGCCGACTGGTGCCGGTCGACGCTAACGTAGCAATTTTAAAATAATTTTCTTTTCGAATTTTTTTTTCCATCTTCTTCTTGGCCAGTCGTTGTCGGACCGGCCAGAGGCTGACGCCGGCGAGTTCAACCTCGCCGGCCACAGGCAAGGCTCGCCCTCGCCGGCACTGGCGAGGGCGAGGTCCAGCCTCGCCATGGCCGGGCAAGCTCGACCTCGCCCAATGACGGTGAGGTCTCACTAGATCTGGGTGGCCTCGCTGTCGCTGGGTGAGGTCGAGCTCACCTGGCCATGGCAAGGCCCACCCTCGCCGTCAGTGGGCAAGGACGAGCCTTGCCACTCGCCCTCGCCAGTGCCGACGAGGGCGAGCCTCGCTCGTGGCCGGCAAGGTTGAACTTGCCGGCATCAGCCTCTGGGCGGTCCGGTGACGACCGGCCAGGGAGAAGATGGAAAAAAAAATTTCGGAAAAAAATAAAAATAAAAAATTGAAAAAAATAAAAAAATATTTAAAAATTACCACATCAGCATCGGTCGGTGTTCACATCAGCATCGGTCGGCCAAAATTGGCTGAATGGACTAAATTGGCACAAATACAAAAGGTTTATGATTGAATTGGCACAAAAAAGGTTTAGGACTGAATTGGCACAATTGCAATAGGTTTAAGCCTGTTTTGGTAATTTTCCCTGTTCAATTTAGTCCTTGAACTATATGAAAATGTTCAATGCAATCCTTCTATTAATTCAAGGTCAAGAACTATATTGAATATTTTCATAAAGTTCGGGGACTACATTGATTATGTATCAAAAGTTCAGAAACCACATTAAACAAATTAAAAGTTCAAGGATCACATTGTACATTAGGCCAAAGTTCATGAGCTGTTTATGTTGTTATCCCTTTTCATTTTTAGAAGCGGAGGATTCTCTTTCACATGTTTCAACCGCATCATCCTCCCAAACTCATAGCTAAATTCCCATGCAATGTGTGCGGAATCCACTATAAAACAGTGGCTTGTAGTAATCTCCAGCATTTCCTCGACAACAGCCCAAGCTATTCTTTAGTTATCCCCTTCACCATTACAGACCTTATAACCATCTTCTTGAGACCTTTTAGGACCACAGCAGCTCCAATTTCAGTGGATCTACGACCCCTAAAACATGTGTTTTAGGATTAACTTGTGTTGGAAATAAAAAAGATTTTTCGTAATCCAAGCTCATCTTTAATGGATTCTTGCAATTGTTATCTAGAGACTTGGAGTCTTGAAAATTATTATATAGGAAATTGTGTTTACTTATTGTTGCTTGTTTTCAAGATAGTTTTAATTGTTCTAGTTATCTAAAGGGTCTATAAATATTATGTAATCCTTCAAGAAATATTAGAACATCAATTCCAAATTTTATTATTCCAACAACTTGGCATGCGTACAACAGATTTAGGATTTTTTTGTTAGTTATCCTCTGAATAATGCATAGTGGAAGCCCATAGCTTTGATCACAAATTTATGGAAAATGGATCCAGCTTTAGATATCAAAACAATGTAGAATTGGAAGATTGGCAACTGAGAAAAGAGGGGAGAGTTGGGGAGAAATTTCCAAAGGATAGAAGTATACAGACAGAAGAAATGAAACTCTATATTTGATTAATATCCAATCACGACAAGAAGCTAATTAGAAAAGTTGCAAAGACAGCATTTAAAACGTTATCGGCAATTAGACCCTAATTCTAATAAATAACATTTTCCCAACTTAGGAGCCTAACTAGTCTTGTTCATATAACACAGATATATTCACCATTGGATTATTTACTTTAGAGCATTGATTAGAAATGAGAAAATAGGACCAACTTAGGAACCCTAGACATGCTTTGATTGAAAGAAATAAAAACAAAACTATCCGTAACATTGGGCCCCTAGTCTCATCCTGATTCGGAAAACCACAAACCTACTATGTAGCTTTTGGACAGACGACTTTGCTGGCATGGTTCCAGTGATATAATGCCAAAATCTGATCAATTATGGTGCCAAAGTTTTTTCTAGTGCAAACATTTCCTTATTTGGTGTAAGATGACAAACAAGTTGATTGACCGTGGTCTCGTTCTGGTCATTTTTTAGAATGGGATAATAACACAAAAAGTCCCTGAACTTTGACTCAATGTGCAATTTGGTCCATGAACTTTTAATTTGTTCAATATAGTCCCTGAATTTTAGCATAATATTTAATGTGGTCCATGAACTTTTAATTTGTTCAATGTGATCCATGGACTTTTGATACATATTTAATTTAGTCCATAAACTATATGAAAATATTCAATATAGTCCCTGAACTTGAATTAAAGGAAGGACTATATTGACCATTTTCATATAGTTCAATGACTAAATTGAATATATACCAAAAGTTCATAGATGACATTGAACAAATTAAAAGTTCAGGGATCACATTGAACATTAAGCTAAAGTTCGTGGACTATATTGAACGAATTAAAAATTTAAGGTTAAATTACACATTATGTCAAAGTTTAGAGAGTGTTTGTATCATTTTCCCTTTTAGAATTAAAGTTGATTAAGAGGGACAGCCTTTTGAAAGATTCTCGAGTGCTCTCGGTATACGGGAGTTCGGCTCATCAACTTACGTTATTGGATGAGGTGAGAAGCCACCTCATCTAATAGCGCACGTGATTGTGCTCGCATGCATCGGGAGAGCATAAAAGTCATGCTCCGTCTTAATTCTTTGTTTCGCTCTGCAATCATCAAATGCTTTTGAACTGTCTATATTCTCTCTGAGTAAAAGACAATGGTGAGTCAATATGTGAAAACCAAGGGTGACCCAGCTAATTGTGGAGAAAGATGATACCAATCATACAGTCTCGATTAGAAGCTCGTCCAGTGCTTTTCTATTTTAGACAGGCCGCCCCCCCCAATAAAAAAAAAAACCTAGTGAAAAGCTGTAATCCATCCACATGAATTAGAAACGTCTTGCAGGCTCTTTAATACCTTTACATGTGCTTCATATTAAGAATATAGAAGTCTATCCTTACCCAAAAAAAAAAAACCATATGAATTAGACTATAATGCTTAAAAATAAATGTCTTATCTCTGCACACAACTCAAGTGCCAAGGCAATCGCTCGGGGGAGATATACTTTTCCTTTATAACAAGACAACATATTTATGCACGTAGTCGCTTCTCAATATGTTTGGTTTGTTTCACAACAGTAAAAGTACATCAGACAGTCATGTATCTGTAGGACTTCTTAGACTAAAGAAATCTTCTCAACCAAACACAGTCCAGGCCTTTGAATTAACTATCAGTCCTGCTTCCACTAAAGCAAATTACAGCAGTTTGAAGTTCAAAGAGATTTACATTCTCTAGGATCACGCTCCTGGAGGCTCCTCAGAATTGCAAATCACAACCCTAACATTAACAAATGCAGTGTAATCCAAGAATCTCACGACAACAGCTACGAAAGTCTATTCTTGGGTTTAATTGATAATGGCTAACAATTCTCAGGACCTCTTAAACTCGTGAATGCGCATCTATCTCATGCACATCAACCCTCTTTTCAATTTAATATCGTACCTCTCGCTACTTTTTCTCATTTTGTGGAGTGCTTAGGAGTAAGAGTCATAACCCTATCTTTTGATGGAGGAGTCTCCATGAGTTCACCTTTTAAAAATAATTTATTGTTTTTTTTATTGAAGGTAAAACTACAGGAACTGAGTAATCCCAACATTTCTTGAACTTTTTTCTTTTTGGATAAAAAACGTTGACCCCAAAGAATAACGTTGTCGTCTTTGCACGACTGAGAAAAGTAACGTTGTCGTCTTTCATATGAGGAAAAGGTACCAACATCAACGTCATTCCGTAATTACTACATGTGGCCCAAGAGCAGTGGAAGTTTCTACCAATATGATTCACGTTTGATATGATCCATACTTCAACGGTCTTGGTCTTCTCTATTTTTTTCTTCAATCCCTCACGGATGAAGTATTGGTCTATTATTGAACGATCACATCAAATAGTTAAGAGTGACATTTTCAAATGAGCACGATTCATCTCGTGAACTATGTTAATCAACTTCGGATAAGTTATTTATAGACATAATATGCAACACAAAGTGTTTTCAAAGGCTACACATATCGTCCTATGAGTAGAGCCTTATAGATACACGTTAACAAAATAAGGAAAAATTACCAACCCAGTCCTAAATCTATTGAAATTGTGGCAATTCAATCCTAAACTTTTTTTTGCCAATTAAGTCATAAACCTTTCCCATTTGTGCCGATTCAGCCCATCCGACGAGAAAATATTTAGTGGTTTCAAAGTGCCACGTCAATTGCTAACGTGGCGTGCATTTTTTAGTCATGTCCTATAGTAAAATGACATATGTCCGCTGAGTTGAAATAAATAAAAAGACCAAATTCTCCCTTCTTCCTCCTCCATCCTTCTCGAGATGATTAGCAGCAGCAGGAAGGTGACCTTCTACAGCCATGGTCGTCGTCACCTTTGTCGGCATCCCTCGTCCATGGCCAAACAAGCTGTCGTTGCTCACGGACATGGCTCCAGATCTGGCCGAATTTCCAGATTGAGCAACCTCTTACGACGTTGCTCAATGTCGACGACGGCCATGGACAAGTGACACGATGCTTGAATGGGTTCGACCATTGATGGCCATATTTGGAGATTTGGAGAGCGACGTCGAGAAGGTGACAACAGCTATGGACGAGGGACACGATGTTAGATCTGGAGGTTGGAAAAAAATAGAAAAAGACGAAGCCGGAGGGGAGGCTCGGGCTGACCCTCCGTGAGAGATGCCGGAAGGGGTCATCTATCATCATGGCTGCAAGCTTTGCTTGTCCATGGTTCGTGAGGAGCCTCATCCACAGATCTGGCGACCGCAGATTGTCTATGGTCGTGAGTTCTGATGGTGAGCTCCATATCTTGTCCGTAGATGAACGATGTCGACAACAGAAGCTTCTTTGCTTCATTGGAGTTGCAGATCTCTTGCCGGCAGAGCCTGAGTTTTCGCTGTCGTTAGGCTGGGATGGAGGAGAATGAAGGATGGAGGAGGAAGAAGGGAGAATGTGGTCTTTTACTTTTTTATTCCAACTCAGCGAACACATGTTATCTTACCATCAGACATAACTAAAAACGCACGCCATGTCAGCAATTGACGTGGCGCTTTGAAACCACTAAATATTTTCTCCCATCCAATCAATTTTAACCAGAAAATGTTAACATGGACGCCGGCAATCCTACGGGACGTGACCGGTGCTAACGTGGATAATTTTAAATAATATTTTAATATTTTATTTATTTTATTTATTTCTTTTCTTGAGAAAGAAGGGAAGAAAAAAAAAGAGAAAGAAAAGAGAAAAAATGATTAAGAAAGAAAAAAAGAAAAAATATTATTAAAATTTGTCCACGTCAGAGCCGGCCGTGTCACGTAGGACGGATGACGTCCATGTCAACGCCGGCTAGTCAAAATTGGCCAGATGAATTGAATTAGCACAAATACAAAAGGTTTATGACTCAATTGGAAAAAAAAAAGTTTAGGACTGAATTGGTACAATTGCAATAAGGTTTTAGGATTTTTTTGGTAATTTTCCCAACAAAACAATATGCATAATTAGTCGAGTTGAACAAAGAAAAACAAAGAAAAAATGGGAAAAATTCAAAAAATTTAAATAAATTACAAAAATCGTCCAACTCAGATCCAGTCAGCAGCCGGCCATGCTAGGTAGGACGACTAGCATCGACTAGACCACCACGTTCGATCAAAATTGGTCGGATAGACTACATTGAAAAATTATCAAAATGTTTATAACTACATTGGCCAAATTGAAAAGTTCATAACTGAATTGACCGTTGTACAATAGTTTTACGGCTTTTTGAATAATTTTTTCGAAATAATTCTAAGTCAGTGAAAGGAGGTAACTGTAATCAAAAGTATTTTAGCAAAAAAAAAACTGTTATTAAAAGTAGTAACCGGATGAGGCTGTAATTTTTTTTTAAAAAATGGCAATTTTCCTTAGTAGGAAGCAAGTGATTTTGCTTTGTGAGACAACAGTTTTCTTGTGCAGCCAACATCGCTACTCGCTTCGTGGTGGACCAGGAGTGATGGATTCCCCCGTTGACGGTGGTGCGCAAATAAAATCTGCGGCCTTCAATAGAGCCAAAAGACAAATTTTGCTTCACCGAAAGTCAACATGTAAGTCATTTCTCAATTATCACCAATCACCCTTTACAGCCACCAACTGTGTCCTTGGATCTTCCGATAACAAAGCAACGAGAAATTCCTCTCCAACCTCAAGCTACCTCTTATTCATTATTGTGTCACGGTCTAGAGGGTTTTCTAACACAAGGACCGTGACACATCGACGAAGACCCATCAAAACCAACGAGAGATTCCTCTCCAACCTCAAGCTAGCTCTTATTCATGGCTGACAGGTAGGAAAGACCTAGGCATTCCAACGATCCAAGGAAGCCTAAGTCGCCGCAGCAAAAGTCGCCGCACAGGTCGTTCCCAAACTATCGGCCCGTGACACATGGCTGACAGGTAAGAACCCCTCTCTCTCTCTCTCTCTCTCTCTGAGATCATTTTCTTATTCCTTGTTCTCTTGCTTGCCCACAGCGATAACGCCAGATCCACAACCGGAAAAGATGAGGAGGAGCAAGTTGACGAGAGGAAGTATTTCCAGAAGGTGCTTAAAGACGTCGTGGCCCTCAACTCCCTCTTCACGGTCGCAGTCTTCGTCGGCCTCTCCCTCGCCCAGCCGGGCCAAGTTCAGAGCCTCCAGGATGAAACAACTTGCCACCCAGACGCAAAAATACGCAAGCGGCTTGTAGCCTTTGAGATAGCCTCCTTCAGCTGCTTCATCTGCTCTGGCTTCCTCGCCAAGACAGTCATGGTCTTCCTCTACATCGACAAGAATCAGGACAGAGACGCGAAGAACCTGCACCGCCAGTTGAAGTACCTCGTCGGGTTCTATTTGTCAATATACGTGTCCATGGTCGGGTGCCTACTACTGCTCCTGGCCATGGTCGACGTCGTCCAGATCAAGCTCGGCCGGCTCTCGTGCCACAGCAAGTTCACGGTCGGCACTGTATCCGTCATGGTTGGCACCATCGGCCTCAGCCTTGTTATCTACTTCATGTCAGTGACCTACGGCGTGGTGGTCACCTTCAAGGCGGTGGAGAAAGGCAAGGGTGGTCCCGTCTCGAAGGACGACAACAGAGTGTAATGAGGAGAGGCGAGAAGTTCAATAGTAGGACAATCTAAAATATGCAGGAATTATCATGTAACGTATATCTAGTGATATGTGTTTTATTAGATGTAGGTTGTGTAGGGCTTGATATATCGTAAGTCCATGTATGTTATGTTTTAAGTGAAGTAGTTTTTCGATTGTGCATTACATGATTCTTGCGCGTCCTTCGCGTGAGTTTCGATCATCAACATTGATTTTCAAAGTTCGTATGTTAAATGAACGTCCCAACTCTCACAGAGAGTTGCTGAATTGGTTCACTTCTTTAAATGTTCGTGGAAAAAATAGAGCATGCATAGCCCATATAGGGGAAATTTTACTTAAGCAGCTGTGTCACGGAGGATGGCCCGGGTCCACATCAGTGATTTTCAGCCAAAGTTTGGTAGAAGAACTACATTGGTAAATCGCAAAAGGTTTAGGACAAATTAGCCAAATTGAAAGGTTTATTATTGAATTGGGGAAAAATTATCTAAAAATTCCTAAAACCTATTGCATTTTTGTCAATTCAATCTTAAACCTTTCAAGTTTGCCAATTGAGTCCATCCAGCCAATTTTAATCGCCCGGAATTGACGTGGACGTCGGCCAGCACCGGCCGTCCGGTCAACGCTGACATGGCAATTTTTTTAATATTTTAATATTTTATTGAATTTTTTTCCTTTTTTTTCTGGCCTTCTTCCCTTTGGTCAATGAGGCCGACCTTGCCGGCCTATGGTCTCACCCAGCGACGGTGATGTTGGGCGAGGTCGGCCTCGCCTTGGCTGGGCGAGGGAGACCCAAGTGACAGCGAGGCTCGCCCTTGCCAGTGGCCGGCGGGGGCGAGCTTTGCTAGAAGCCGGTGAGGTTGACTTCACCGGCCCTCACCTTTGGCTGGTCTGACGACCGGCCAGAAAAAAAAGAAAAAGAAAAAAAGGAAAAAAAATTGAAAAAAATAAAGTATATATATTTAAAAAATTGCCACGTCAGCTTTGGCTAGACGGTCAGCGTCCACGTCAGCTCCAAGTGGCCAAATTGGCTGGATGGACTCAATTGTCAAGAAGTGAAAATGATTAGGATTCAATTGGCAAACTTGAAAGGTCTATGACTGAATTGGCAAAAGTGCAATAGGTTTAGGACTTTTTGGACAATTTTTCCATTGAATTGGCATCCGTACAATAAGTTAATGACTTTTTTTGGTAATTATCCCCCGAATAATGCATAACGGAAGCACATAGCTTTGATCACAAATTTATGGAAAATGAATCCAGCTTTTGAAATCAAAACAATGTAGAATTGGAAGATTGGCAATTGAGAAGAATGTGAAAAGAACATTGACGAACTAAGATATACTTGTTGATGAAAAGGCTGTTCTATACACATGAATTTGAATACACATAATGTTAGCGGTAGATTTTTAAATAATGATTCAATGGGCCGATGCACTTTCTTCCGCAAGAGGGATCTAAAAAGCAAAAGTGATCTATAAATCACTTAGCATTTACTAAAAAAAGAGCGCGCGAAATCTGCAAGTAATTTTTTACTTAATTTTGATGAGTAATAGTAGGTATATACTAATTTACCGAATTGGTAATCCATTAAAACATAATTATAGGTGAGTCATGTTCAATACCCAATAAATTAAGGGTCGGTCTCCTTACTTTGTTTATCTTGTATATTGGTAAGTCTATCCAGCATTATTCAATTTTATTCAATATAATATATTACAATCTGGAAAATGAATTCGATAAACACATCATCATTTTATTCGACCACCAATTATCACCATTAAAATGCTATAAACAAATTTAATTCATGATAACATTTTAAAGGAAAGCTATTTTGTTTTTTAAAATGATCTGTAACGATACAATTGTTTTCGTTAGATAAGCGAATTATAATTATTAAAGACGAGCAATAGTCTTAAACAGAATCGCATCCATTTGGCGGGAAGCTTTCCATCTATAACATGGAATTAAAGATAAACAGATTGTTGATTATGAAAAACAAAGAAAAAAATTACGTTTTCGACTTAATGTCTTATTTTGTAATATTCCAAAAAAAAGAGGGCAATTAGGAAATTGAAAAAAAAGGGTTAAATTTGGAAGGAAAAACAAGGGAACATTCTGGACATGAACCCAAAAGATCAAGAGAAGGAGGGAATCATGAAACATGCCTTAGTTATTGTAGTTACTTTCACTTTGTCTTAGGGTTACTATTGGCCATTTTTACCTTACCAAAGAGAGAGTATCAAGAGAAAGGGAGAGGAGACAACGACGCCGGAGATCCGAGACTCGATGGAAAATCGACCAATTCGTGGCAGGTTCTCGGACTAACTTAAAAATGAGTTGGTAAGCTAAGAAAAGTTGGTGAAGTTACTATCTCCCTTATCCTGTCTATCACTAAAATATAATAATTATCCGATATTGAGTTAGTGCCCGAGAAAACGTATATTTTCTTTTAAATTGTTTAAATTGTCGTAGCACTTATATAAGGTTCGCCATCATCGACCAAAAACAGCAGCACATACTATATTCAGATGCAATGTAGGATATGATTGTTTGCCTTCAAGAAACCCTATCATCCAAGGTGGAGTTCCACGTCATCAGAAAGGACAAAAAAAAAACAAAGTGAGAAATAAGTGAAGATACTATATTATGAATATGAATATAAATTGATGGTTATAGAATTCCATGTCACGTAATAATGAAATTTGGCCAAACAAAAAATGTCTTCTAAGCTTGTCCACATAATAAAAAGCAATTTGGATAACTGCACAAGCTTGATATGAAGTTCTCCATCGCTTCACCTAACCCCCAAGAGAAGGAAAGACGAGTGGTGGTTGGTGGTGGTGAACGTGACAACAACCCCCCTTTGCTGTCTCTCTCTCTCTTTTAATTAAGACAAACATTGTCGTCTTACAATTACAAATTTCCTGAAGGTTCAACGGCAGCATCAGCTTGGTCCGAGAGTTTGGCGGGTCTTTCTATATTCCTTAGATCTGTCATAAACAATTGTAGAACGAACAAACGATAAAACGATCGTCAGAAACGAGCTAAGTGCCATTGAATATCATAGTTTGGATTTGGAAGTACATTAGGAATGACCTTTATCTACTGTCATTATGTGCGTAGTAGCCCTAGCCCCTAGGAATCGATTATCCAATAATTGCAATATAGATGTACGTGATTTCGATTTCCTTAAAACGACTCTGCACCAACGACAAAAACAACGTCGTCATCTATTATCTGTGGGATAGAGACGAACAGTCATTTTCTAGTTGCAACACGTGGCTCAAGAGCATTGGGAGTTCCTATCCACATTATTGACGTTTCATACGACCAATACTTTTATGGTCTTCGTCCACTATTTTTCTTTTTTTACCTGAATCCGTTGATCTCCTTATATATATATCCAAGGATCTGGGGATTGTAAATAGAGAGTAAATTATAATAGAAGGGAATCAATCAATCTGTCCGTTTTCGCTTATTAGAAAGAAATCAGGGAAATTGTAATAAAAAGATTAGAGCAACAAAAATATATGTTATATTTAATCGTCATTCCAAATAATTGAAATATCTAATATATTGAGAAAATAAATAATGGATATGAGATATGCTTGTGGTTCTAGCAACAGTGAAAATATATCCTAGTATAAAAGTGCAGATTTCTACACAGAAAACTATTAAATAAATAAAATTAAATAAAATAACGAGCATTATAAGCTATGTAAAGACCATAAACAATATATAGAACTATAAGAAGAATTGCTAGAAATGCTAGACCAACCATGTAGATGGTATTGCTAAGAAAAGGGTAAACCGGTAAGAAGAAGTAAGGATATATAACAATTGCAGAGAACTGCTTTAATTTAAAGTACAGACCTTCCACAGGCGGTTCAACCTGCCGTTTGTGGGGTATGTAGTATGTAAATGCCAGAAGGAAATTAGAGAAATGACTGGTATATAAACAATATTGAAAGATTACAACAACAGTATTGAAAGGTTACAGGATGTAGATATCGAAATACAAGTGCAGTAGTAAGGAAATTTCTTTGGTAGAAAGTGATGGATCTTATGGAGTTTCGAATGAAACTTTGTGTTTCCTAAGAATAGTTCTAGCAGATGTCTGCAGACTATATTTCTCAAAAGGAAACTAAGATCTGGAGAGTGATATGAAAATTCTGAATAGGGATCAGAAACTTACTGGGTATGAAAGGTTATAGAAAGGTTGTGAGATGTATGATCTCTTATTCTCTCGAAGGAGGCTTGGAGAGATCTGGGGAAGTTGGAGAGGTTTTGAACTCAGAGAGAAAGGGTCTGAAGAAGTTCTACCCCCTTAAGGGAGTGAGGTTTTCTTATATAAGCAAGTTGGGTTCCTGTAGAAATAGTTCACGGGTGATACTATAGCAAATAGTAGTAAGTGCACAGTGTTACAGTGAACAGTGACCTAACACAATTATGAAAGTTATGAAAAAGGAAAAGGTTGTCAGACTTCTTTCGGTTCAGAAATTATGAAAACAGCCAGGAGTCTTTCGGCGCCTTGTCCTTAGGAGAATCTGGAGAGATCTTCCACTGGTTGAGGCTCTTCTTCTTCTTCTTCGTCCTTCACACTTGCCCAGTTGTGAGGAATGGGAGCAAATCCTGGAATTCCATAGCAGTCATCTTCATTGGAATTGCCACTATGATGGGAATGAGAAGAACTGGTTTCTTCAATTTCGGAAAGGGCTTGTTTTAGCATTCCTGCTAGCTGCTGGTGAGATTTAGCGGATGCTAACCTAGAAAGCATAAACCCTTTGTCATGTAGAAAGGGAGTGATATCATCAGAACTGATGGGGATGGAAACCCTAGAAATTAGCCATTCTGTGACGGCTTGCTTGGTGACCTATCAAAAAATTTGAAACCATCCCACCATTTAATTTTGAATCGCCTTATGAGAATGGGGATGCTGGTTTCGATAGCCTTTCGATAGTCAAAATACCATCCGAGAACCCAAGATACTCCGAAGTAATAGAAAAAGAGCATCAGTTTGGGAAAGTTTTTCTCATATGGAAGCGGAGAGAATTTTTCTAGGAAGAGTTCATAACTAGGTTGGATTCTTGGGTGGATTATTTCATCAGTTGGTCCCAAGTGGTCCCACCATCTGATAAACCAATATGGAACAAGTTTGATATCAA